GCTTCTTCCAGTCCAAGATTCTATGCTCCCATGAGTATCATATGTTGAAATTGTATATCACCCTGCCTTGGGCCTGAGAGCTTGTTTCTTCTCATTGTTCCACCATAGGTTGTAGCCTGCTGTGCACTAAAACAAAATAGTTCCTTTTCCTCATTTGTGGAATTCCCTCTCATTGGACATGCATGTGGCACTGCTACAGTTTGGAGGCGCTACCAGATTACTTGCTTTTGAGCACTTGCCCTGATATGTTTGCAGGGAGATTAGAGAATGTTTACTAAGCATTCGTGTCTGTTGTTGCAAGATTAGACGGCATGGCATCATAGCAAGTGTATTTTCTCATCACTTTGCTTATCACAAAAAGTACGAGCTTTTGGGGGAAGCTGGTTTCTTGCACAAGACCTCCAAATCAACTGTAATTGTGCAACCTGAGTTTGTTAGTATGTGATTGAATCCCATCCAAAAATAACAAGTCTGGAAGCACCCTGGCTTTTAGTAACACACTTCCTCACCCAGTCCTTTGGGGGAACTTGATGTAACAATGTCAGCTACAACTGATGTCATCTGCTGTCTGCTGTTATTTATTGTTGTTTGATATTTTAATTAGTTCTGTGATATTGTATTTTATAATTAACATTTAAATTACTGCAAACCACTCTGGGATCATAATTAAGAGTGGCTTAGAAACTGATGAAATAAGTTGTTGTTGTTGTTATTTCAGGTATTTATATACCACTTAATATTCAAAAATTATAAGCAGTGAAATTAATGAAACAAGTCAATCAAATAATGTATAATTAAATAAAGAATCAAAATATAACGGCTCCTAATCCTCCATTCTAGTCATACTCTGTTCACAGATGCAGTTCATTGATGACTAATCACTATGCAATGTCTCCATGTGGGAATATTCAAATCTTCAACAGTTCAAGACATCTACTTTTAAGCATAAAATGTTATATCAGAAGCAGTCCTGAAACAACCTTTGGTATCCCAAATACCCAGCAGTAGCTTCCAAAACACAGAACATTTCATATCAATGCACCAAACACACTACATTCCACTGTCCTACAGACACATTCATCATACTCCATTCTCTCTCTCTGCTCCTCAGCTTCCCGTCTACATTGTGTATTCTCGCCATACTGTATTCTTGTTGGAGAGGCCATTATGCAACAGTGCTTAACAACTTGATATTTTTAACAAGATTATTTAAAATGCAATCTTAACACACACCCCACTGCCCTGGAGTAAGCCCTGCTGAATCCAATAGGACTTGCTTCTGAGTAGACATGCTTAGGAATGCACTGTTATTGCTTCAAAGATACAGCATTGGTCCATGCATCCTCCTCCTAGAAAAGGCCAGTATAGTCATGTTGGTTCATAGAAAAATCCAGAGTAGAGCAATACATTTCTTAGGACCAACCAAATGTCACAAAATAGTAAGGAAGCTTTTCACTTCTTCAGAACTCTTCACCAAGCTGGACATTAACCAAAGCGTTGTAGAGAAAGAGAAAAATGGCATGATGTTAAAACAAAAAAGTTTGTAGTTTTAATAGTCTAAAAGATAGAGGAGACTGAATGGAGAGTAAACTGAAGCAGACTATACAGTAAGTTGCTTTGAGTTTAATTCTTTGGAGAAAAGGGACTGATAAAATAAGAATAAGAGTAATATTGTGGACTTTATGAGATACAGAAACAGTCATGGCAGATCTTCCATTACTTTGAAAATATAAAATCTAGTCATTACTTAGATCTGGGGTTTCTTCATGTTATCCATTCCATCATTCTTTCTTCTCTACTATACTGTAGAACAGCAACATATTCAAGATACAATATGACTAACTTTACAAAGGTCATAGTCCATACCTCAAAGGTTTTATGGCCTACTGTGCACAACCCAATTAATCAGTTTAGAACCTGACAGCAGGTGAGCCTTCATATTTTAGTCATATAGCCAAGCATCTTAATTGCTCATTATGTTACAGAACAGATTGGGAACGTTTGACCTAGAGAGGGAAAGGCAATCCTTTTTAAATTGATATGTACTTCTATTTTTAAAAATTGTAAAGGCTTGAGGAACAATTCTCCTCACACCTGCTGCACACATGATACCATAGAGAGCCAGTGTGGTTTAGTGGTTAAGAGCGGTAGTCTCGTAACCTGGGGAACCGGGTTCGCGTCTCTGCTCCTCCACATGCAGCTGCTGGGTGACCTTGGGCTAGTCACACTTCTCTGAAGTCTCCACTCACCTCACAGAGTGTTTGTTGTGGGGGAGGAAGGGAAAGGGGAATGTTAACCGCTTTGAGACTCCTTAAAGGGAGTGAAAGGCGGGATATCAAATCCAAACTCTTTCTTCTTCTTCTTCTTCTTCTTCTTCTTCTTCTTCTTCATAAAACAAGTGGAGAGTAAACCAATTCTAAAAGTTTATTTGCCAGGTTCAGCAATTATATTGGCAATTGTGGGTAACTATGGGTGTTTCAAAATACTGTAGGCACCAGTTTTGTTGAAACATGATGCAAGCCAGTGCTATTTTTCTAGAAATTGGGGTGCCAGAACTCACCATGAACTTCTCCCTTGTTCTCTTATACTAATACTACTACTACGTTATTATTTATACCCCGCCCATCTGGCTGGGTTTCCTCAGTCACTCTGGGTGGCTCTCAGCAGAATAGTAAAAACACAATAAAACATCAAAAATTAAAAACTTCCCTACATGGGGCTGCCTTCAGGTGTCTTCTAAAAGTCAGATAGTTGTTTATTTCCTTGACATCTGAGAGAGGGTGTTCCACAGGGAGGACGCCACTACCGAGAAGGCCCTGTGTGGTGTAGTGGTTAAGAGCGGTAGTCTCGTAATCTGGGGAACTGGGTTCGCGTCTCTGCTCCTCCACATGCAGCTGCTGGGTGACCTCGGGCCAGTCACACTTCTTTGAAGTCTCTCAGCCCCACTCACCTCACAGAGTGTTTGTTGTGGGGGAGGAAGGGAAAGGAGAATGTTAGCCGCTTTGAGACTCCTGAAGGGGAGTGAAAGGCGGGATATCAAATCCAAACTCCTTCTTCTTCTCTGCCTGGTTCCCTGTAACTTTGCTTCTCCCAGTGGCAAAACCGCCCAACTGAGAGGTGTCGGAACTGAGTTCTGGTGAGTTCCAGCTGAGAAAAAGCCCTGATGCAAGCTATCTGAGTTGCAACAAACATTTCTTCAGACAGTTCTCAGCTAGATACCTAGCAGGATTCCATTCCAAACAACCTTCTTAAGAGCCAGATAGATAAATTCCAAAAGATTAGACATATCTAATCACACACACACAAACCCATGCAGTTCTGCCTGCACTCCATCACTTTAGCATACTAAACAATGAGTCAAAACCAGGGCTAGGACTTTTCAAACAAACATCAAAGATATCTCTGTTACAAGTCAAAGGGACTGTAATCCACTAAAGAGATTTAAGATTCCACACTCAAATCCTGAGATGGTGAAGGCTATGGTATCTCCAGGCTTTAACTACTACCCATTGAGCTGGGTCCAGAAGTGTGACTCACTCTTAAGAGCAGAACACTGCTGCATCAGATGTTCTCCTCTGGGACAGCCCTGACCCCAGCTAAGTATCTCAGAAAAGGAGTAAATGTGTAGAGGGATATATTAGCACACTTTCCTCCAGAATTCCATGTAAAGCGAAGTTCTCAAAAAGCGATTCTGTTTTATCAGATTTTCCATCAAAATATGATGAAGAAAAATGCTCAGTTCACCACTGGCATCACACTATGTAATTGACAGATTAAGAAAGATGGGTCAGCAATGGGAGTGGACATAAGGCATAATCATGCAGGGCAGGGTAGCAGCACAGCTGCATCTTAATATGACACTCACTGTCTTTGTTTGTTATTTTCCCACTTCATCCCAAGAACAGGTTATAATATAATCTTAACTCAGTTCACCTTCAAACCATTCCTTTGAAATAAATTATGCTGCAGTTTACACATGCAGAAGGCCACTCCTCTGTAATGTGCAGTAATTAATCTGGAATAACTCTCACTACTTCACTGTGATAGTCAGTAATGCAGATTGCCATCCTCATTATCCCAGATGAGCTTGCATTAGAAAGGTGGGGCAATCCAACTTGCAACTACTACTCTAAAGTCAAGTGCCAAGGAAAGTTTAAAGAGTGCAAATACCATACTAGACTCTTGAATATTAATTCACAGACACGAATCGTTGGCAATGTCAGCTATTAAGTCCAGTGTATGGCGAACCACCATTTCACCACACACCAAAGTTTTTCAATGCCCCAATATTAGTGTGTTTAAATCAGCTGGCTCCCTACTAGTGAATACTTTCAAAAAGGAAGATGCTGTGGTTAAAGCATATCTGGCGTGCTCCTAACATCCTCTGCTGTCTGATGCAACACATGCAGGTGTGGAATGTGAGTAACCAATGTCGAGGAAATTTAATTCTGCACATGCTCGGGGCACCTGGTTCTTATTCACTTGTCGTTTCACATGTTACGGCACTGAATCATTGCAGTGAAAATTGTAGGTGGCCAATTTCAAACCTTCTCTCTCTCACACACACATAGTATTTTCCCCTGTATTGGGAGGAGATGACTTGCCAAAGGTCAGGCAGCCTGTTTGCTGTTCCTCCTAAATTAAAGGCATCCCACTCGGTGAAGCTGTGCTGCTGCCTAGGTGCTTTAGCAAAGCCTGCGTCACTTTAGGATGCGAGCCACATCCTTTGGGTCCCTTAGCCAGATTCACAGAGTGGCCCAAGCAAATATTTGCTTCTCCCTCTGCAAAAAGACGAAGGTCCCCAACCATCACTTTGGAAAGCTTGCCTTCGCCCAGCGAGCTGGTGACTGCGTGGAAGAGAAGCGTCCCCTTGGAGCCTCACGACAGCCCTGCGAGGTAGGCTACTTTGCCGGCCGGGGGTCGGGTTTTGCGCCCGCTCCGTCCCCGGGTCTCTCGAGGCGCCTGGCTCCGGAGCGGGGAGGGGGGGCGAGTCTCCTTACCAGGGAGAGGACTTTGTAGGGGTTGGGCTCCTTGACTTTCGCCCTGAGCGCCGCCGCTTTCTCCGGCTCGTCCGCCACCTCCATAGCCGCCAGCATGGGCACCGCGGCGGAGTTCTTCTTCTCGGGCCCGTCGCTGCCGAAGCCCTTCTCCAGCGGCGGAGGAGCCACCTTGGCTTGGCTGTTCCTCAGGCCGGCGTTCTCCATTCTCTCGCCCGGCGCCTCCTGCGCCCTCGGCTAATAAAAGGGCCGTGGCTCCGCCCCCTGCCTGGCTTTGGCGGGCTTCCCTCAGGCCGCGCGAGGTGGGCGAGGGAAGAAGTCGGCGCTCCGGGTTCCTGGGGTTCCTGCCTCGCCTCCCCCCGCCCCCACCCTCTGGCCGCGCGCGCTCTCTGGGGAGCCCGGTGGCTTTTTCTTCTTCCCCCATTCGTGTTCGCAGGAGGCTTCCTCTGACGCGCACCCTTCCCGGGAGATGAAGAGGAGCCTGTGCTGCTGGTCCCCCTGAAGGAGCTTTCTAGAGGATGGGCATCATCATCACCACAAAGGCTTTATTATATATCTGTTAGGAAGCTGAGAAGATGGCAATGTGTGGCTCCAGAAGCAGGCGGCGCAGGAAGGTGACCGGGGTTGTTTACACGGGAGAGTGTGAAGAGGCAGCGTTTTCCTCTGCGGAGAGGAAGGGAAAGTGGGTGGCTGGGCGAGGGGAAGACTTCCAGCTGCCTTCCTATTTGCACAGGTTCTTCCAGAAATCACACTCACCTCTCCAGGCGAAAATGGAACAGAAAACGGACAAAAAAGATGGAAAGGCGTCATCCAAAGATGGAACTGACTTTTTTGTCCCCCATGGACCACTTGGGAATTGGCTGGTGAACACTTAATGGTTTTTCTGCCTGTTGTAGCAAGTGCCATGTGCTGTGCTAGGTGTTATATGATTATTATTTTTCTCCCCACTGTTGTATGTTATTGTATTACAGTTTGCATTTCACATAATTCAAATGGTAGTTCAATAACATGCAATACAATAAATAATATACAATAAAAGAAGCAATAAAGATTCAAATAAAATCAAGATGAATCTTTAATGCAAGATATGCCATGGGCCACCAGAATGAGGCTTGCAGACTCCTGGTGGTCAATGGATCACATTTTGGGAACCACGGTTTGGGAACCGTGGAAAATAGTTGTTTATTACATACCATCTCTAAAAATAAAACCCAAGGGCTATCTGATGTTCATCTTTGTCTCCCACATCCAATAAGAAACAGTCTTGCAAATGCAAACTTACCTTCCTTGAAGTTTCCGCTACAGTTTGATGCATGGTTACTTGGAAGTGATCCCCACTGAACTAAGACATTACTGCAGAGGAAACATGCTGTGTACATAAGAGCTGGCTGCTCCTTTTGTAAATGCTCATGAAACACACACCTGTAATATATATATATATATATACACACACACACACATACACATACATACACACACACACACACACACATATATACATATACAGAGAGAGAGAGTGAGTTTTGTTTCCTTTTTTCTTTCTTTGCATACACTCAATAAAACTGCCAATATAATGACATCATTATACAAGTCTATGGTGAGACCACACTTAAGAACACTGTGCACAGTTCTGTTTGCCTCACCTCAGAAAGGACATTGCAGAGTTGGAAAAGGTTCAGAAAAGGGCAACCAAAATGCTCAAGGGGCTGGAGCAGCTCCCCTATGAGGAAAGGTTTGCAACATTTGACACTTTGTAACTGAGTTAAAAGGGACATGGGTGGTGCTGTGATCTAAACCACTGAGCCTCTTGGTCTTGCCGATCGAAAGGTCGGCAGTTCGAATCCCAGCGCCAGGGTGAGCTCCCATTGTTCGGTCTCAGCTCCTGCTAACCTAGCAGTTCGAAAGCACACAGTGCAACTAGATAAATACAGTGGTGCGTCAGGTTAAGTACTTAATTCGTTCTGGAGGTCCGTACTTAACCTGAAACTGTTTTTAACCTGAAGCACCACTTTAGCTAATGGGGCCTCCCACTGCCGCCGCACCGCCGGAGCACGATTTCTGTTCTCATCCTGAAGCAAAGTTCTTAACCTGAAGCACTATTTCTGGGTTAGCGGAGTCTGTAACCTGAAGCATATGTAACCTGAAGCGTATGTAACCCGAGGTACCACTGTAGGTACTGATCCGCTGGGAAGGTAAACGGCGTTTCCGTGCGCTGCTCTGGTTTAGCCAGAAGCAGCTTAGTCATGCTGGCCACATGACCCAGAAAGCTGTCTGTGGACAAACACTGGCTCCCTTAGCCTGTAAAGCGAGGCAAACACCGGCTTCCTCGGCCTGTAAAGCAAGATGAGCGCCACAACCCCATAGTCATTCGTGACTGGACTTAATTATCAGGGGTCCCTTTACCTTTACCTAATTGAGTTAAAAGACAAGTAGGGGAGGGGGCATGATAGAGGCGCCTTAGTGGAGCTGAATGTTGGAAGATTCAGGAGCAGCAAAAAGAAAGCACTTCTTCATATACAAACTATGGAATTTGCTCCCACAAGGTGGGAGCTTGCTTTAAAAGATTAAACAAATTCAGGGAGGATAAGGTTATCAGTGACCACTAGCCATGGTGACTATGTTCTGGCTCCACTAGCCAAAGGCAGAATGCCTCTGCATACTAGTTGCTTGGAATCACAAGTGAATAGATCACTGAGGTCCTGCTCTGGGGCTTCCTATAGGCCACTATGAGGACAGGATGCCAGTCTTGATGGACATTCAGTCAAATCCAGCAGGGCTCTACTTTTTTTAACATCGCAGGTTTCTCTGGCCCTTGTTTATTTGTTTATTTACATTGCCTTGAACATTTGCAAACAATGTGTGGGGAAATGCAGTGGGGAGATGGCTGTGAAGCTGCTTATAGCCATGGTACCATTAATTAAAGGATGGAGAAGGTGAAAGAAGCTAGAGGAAGAACAGAGGGTTTCAGCTGAGGTCTACCAACACTCTGCCATCCCTTAGTCACTAGGCCTTTTATCTGATGCCACTTATTTATTTATTTATTTATTTATTTTTGCTTGCTTGCTTGCTTGCTTGCTTGCTTGCTTGCTTGCTTGCTTGCTTGGAGCATTTGTTCCCTCCCCCCAAAAAAATCCTCCAGAAGCCCATGGAAAAGTCTTTACATACTTCTCAGGACTGAACAAAATAGTCAAAGTCACCACATAGCAATAGCAAAGCCCTGTGCAGATGAGCAACAACATTTGCGCAAAGACTTCACCTATACCACTTAAAACAATTCTGAGTCTCTCTACCACTGTTGTGCATGTATGAAAGTTTAAAACTGCAGTTTCAAAATACTTTTTCCTCAGGTTTGTAAACTTATTGACAGCCATTTGGGAAGTGGATTTGCAACTGTATTCCAACCTTCCTGGTTTGTTCTGTCACATTTGCACTGTCGCTTGTTGCCTTCTGAAATGCATTTTTAGTCCTCCATTCATAATTTCTCCCCATCCGGATAATGGAACTAACATCCATCTTACTTAAAGCTTAAAGGGAAAGAAGCAACATAAGCCGTATTTACATTTCTCTCAAAAAAGGAAACAAAAACCCCCACACCCACATGTAATTTTCAACATTTTCTAGGTACTGGACATTTCACAAGCCCTTTTAAACTTTTGAACTGTATCTTCTTTCTTTTTATGATGTTGTTCTATTTGACTGGCTGTGCTAAAATTATATTAGCTATGTTCAGCAATGAACACTGCTGGGCAAGGATGAAAACCACAGTAGCTGGTACAAAGGCCAAGCAATACATATGCAAATTCCATTTATGAAATTTCTATGAACCTTTTCTAGGAAGTTAAAGAGCACTTTGTATGAGAGCAAACATTACCAGAAATTATCTGTTTGGTTTAACATTATAAAACGATATGTTTAACATTCTAAAAATGTATATTTTTTATGTTTGACTGTCTAAAAAGATACAATTAACAAAAATGTTTTTAACTATCTGATGGCTTTTGCTGTTCAACTGACTCTCCAGAACATTAACTCTGATCTTATGTCAATGGGACTGGACTGCAATACTATGTATACTTACCTGGGAGTAATCCCCATTAAACACCATTGGATTTTCTTCTGAAAATACATGCCTAAGATTGCACTGTAGAGATATGGTTGGCATTCTTGTGTGTCAGCCTAAATAGTTTTTGGATCATGCTTGCCAAACAGCACATCAAAAATTATTAACACCAATGGGCTTTCAGTAAGATAACTGGTCAGTAATTTGTAGACCAACCCCATGTTGCCTGAGGTTTCTCAGGTCACCAGAGTGACATGGTTGGAATGGTGCTATAGTGGCTTCCATACTGCAAATGTGGTATACCTGATGGCGCTTTTGGAAAATTATACGACAAAGGTCTGTGTGTGTGTTTTTGCGTGTGTGCTTAAATCCAAATCCCCAATTGTTGGAGTTTTTTGTTATCAATAAACTAACCATCTTAGTTTCGTCTATATTATTTACTGTACTTATGGGTGATGGCCAATGTTAGTCATACCCAGAGCAGCCTCGTTGAAATCGTTGGATTTAAGTGGCTTAAATCCATTGATTTCAATGAGCCTACTCTGAGTATGACTTCAGTGGAGATCACCCTATGTGTTTACTTACTTGAATAATGTGTATACTTCAGCCTATTTGGATTTCACAGTGGTGTACAACAATTTGATCATAATGCAGTAATAAAACAGCTGAAATGCTTGAACCACATTAAAACACCAGCAATTCAAAGTGTCCGGGTAAATAAGAAAGTTTTTGCCTGATGCCAGAAAGATTGCACCATCAGCAGCAGTCAAACATCTTTAGGGAGGGCAATAAGAAATGTGTATACGGTAATTCACAAAAGGCAATAATAGTAGTCTATCTATGACAGTGATGAGGTCTCTGCTGAAGCTCCATCTCAGGGTGTTGGATTACATCAGCTCTCACTGAGTTTCTTTCTCTGTGTTTTCCTAAGGTAAACATTGCCATAACTATTTTTAATTCTAGCATAACTTCCTGAAAATGAGTCTTGTTAGGAAAATGAGCTCAGCAACTTTTATTCAAGCCATTTGGAGTTTTGCACTACATTAGACTTCCCAATTAAGCCTTGGTGTCATGGACAACTAATGCAGTATGTGAATAAATATTAAAAATATTTCTGTTAACTTGCTCAGATTCCTACAAAAACCTTTTCATAGTAGTAAATGGGTCCATTGATCTTCTCAGAGGCATCATATGAGATATCAGTAGGAGGAAGGAGGCAATGATGGTAAACAGCTTTCCAGAAAGGGTAACAGCCCTTGCAGTGCAATCTTATATACTCTTAAATAAGCCCCATTAAGTTCAGTACCAGTTGCAAATAAATAAATTTCAGTGGGTTGCACTCTCCTCCAGACTCTAGAGAAAGACTCTTGTGTAAGATGTCTGCTACTGTCCTATAATGAGCTCATTTCCAAGGATTGTGTGACCTTCCTTTTTGTTAGTCTTTGCTCTTCAGGTTTTCCTCACATTTGTCACCAGACAGGAGAGGAACCAATTTAGTCCAAATGTCAGCAAGGTGATATTTTGGTGGCAACCTTCTCAAACCTCACTTGATATA